GTTTAACAACAAAACAAAGCAGGAACCGGGTTAAAACCCAAAGTACAAATAAGTAGAATGAGTCCCAACTGACACTGATAAATGACCAGGTAAAGAAGAGACAGTAATAAATGACCAGGTAAAGAGCCTCCATGAGGGAGAATTTCTAACGATGTATGTAGACACTCTACTCAGAGTGGAGTCAACTTATCCAGTCCTTCAGTTTCCAAAGAACCCCTGTGAAAAGAGGGTAAGAAGAGCTTCCAAGGAAAGAACAGACTACTTCAGCGAAGTAATCCAATCAGCATCAACAGTGCTAAGTCACGCTGATGACATGTGCCTCAAAACATGAAAATGGCACTTAACTTCTGATATCTCCCTAAAAGCACATAGCCCCAGTTACTCAGGGGGATAGCGCAATTCAGAATGGAGGAACAACTCAGAAAATACCTGGCCCATAGCTCTCAAAATGGACAAGGTCTTCAAAACCAAAATGGCCCGAGAGTTTTGAAGCCGTGAATAGACTAAATAGTCAAGAGAAGGAAATTTATCAGAACATGGAAAGGATTCTGGAACAAAAAAAAAAAAAATGGGACACCCATTCAAGATCAAGGTGTCTGAGAAAGTATAAGCTATAGTTTAAAAAAATGTATCAAATTAGTTTATTAGCTGCAACAAATGCCCCAAACTAATGTGAGGATAACAGGAACAGGTCAGATAGGACTCTACTATTTTTGTAATTTCAATGTAACTTTTCTAAAACCTTCAAAACCTTAAGTTCAGATATTAAGAGCTAAAGAATGGTGTGAAAAACAGCATTTAGCAATTAAGATCATCTTGATTCAGATTTTTCATTTTAGGTAATAGTAACCAAATCCCAGTATTATGGAATTAGAAAAAACAAAACAAAAACCTCCCTAGAGAACTTCTAAGTGGGCATAAGGCCTGGGCTGGGGTCTCATGAAGTAAATGCTCAGTGTGTGGGTAGATCTGTGCTATTGCGGAGGTTGCCCAATATCTAAATGGCGCTTGCCTGGAAAACCATGGTCCAGTTCCACAACTAGGAACTGGCTCTGCTTTAGAGATGTCCTCAATGATTGGCCAACTCCTCAAAAAGCATTTCATTTCTGGTGCACCCCATCTCCAAGCCAGCACTTTTGGATCACCCGGACAAGGGTCACCTCTATTTTTCATGATTTTATTTTTATTTAAAATATTCCATAATCATGGGAAAGTAAAACTTTAAAATTTTATGTTACTTCCAAGTTTGAAATGATTTCAGATTTACAGAACATTACAAAAAGCAGTACTGAAAAAAAAATCCTGTATACCGTTTACCCAACTTTTCCAATGCTAATACTGAAGATAGCCGTAGTGCAGTAGTGAAAACCATGATATGAACATTGGAGCATTATGCCTAGCTAAGCTGCAGGCTCTGTTCATTGTTCACAGTTGTCCCAGAGCACCCATCTCCCAAGCTGAACTTAGTGGCCCTGGCTTCTCAATGACCGGGCAGATCCTCAGCCTCGGTCTCACATCACAGGATCCTTCTAAGAGATGTAATAAACCATGGAAACCCCCGGAGTGGCTCCCTTCAAAGCATCTCTGCAGTGAGTCCCCAGGGTGTCTGAAGCAGGAAGAAGCTGTGGCTGCCAGCAAACCCTGGGAGCAGATGGGGAGGGTGGGAACATAGCTGGTAGGAGCAGGCCTGCACCTCCCCCACCCCACCCCACCCCACCCCACCCCCACCTCCACCCCCGCCCCCGCCCAGGCTTATAGATAAATGGAAATATTAAATCTCTTGTCTCTGAATACCTTCCACAGCACCAAGCTTCCAGATATCCACCTATCTAGACATCCCACCTCATTCACAAAACCCTCTGAGGGGGTGAATACCTAAGTTGACTCATCAGACCTCTCTAGAAACAGGAGTAACTAGCAACCATGGTCTGCAACCTTCCTGTAATTTTACATCAAGCCCACATTACCAAGGTCAAGAGTTTCTTCTCCTGCATGCTTTCTTGTGCTAAGGTAAGGTAGCATTCTTCCCATCAGTGTCCCCAAGAGCTGAAAAAAAAAAGGTCAATAGCACAGAGCTATGTGGTGCTATATCCCCACCTAGTGTTCAGAGTAACACAGTGCAGCCATCTACCCCTGCAGTTCCTGCCCATCATTGGGAGTGTAACAGGGTCACAATCTTCAAGAAGCAATACCCAAAGACTACCAAGTGTGCTCTAATTTTCAGACTCGCCAGGGAAAAGCTCTGGGGTCTCACCACCCCTCCTCTCCTTTTACTGTGCTTTGTTTTTTGGTTCCTGGCCATTTCTAATACTTTTCTTTTCCTACAAACACGTAAGTACTTAATCCATAGTGGGCCCCGAGAAGCATGTATTCCTTCTCTTCCCTTATACCAGTGGTTCTCAACCTGTGGGGTTGCCTATCAGATATCCTGCACCTCAGATATTTCCATTACAATTCCCAACAGTGGCAATGTTACAGTTATAAAGTAGCAATGAAAATAATTTTATGGCTGCGGATCATCATAACATGAGGAGCTGTTTAAAGGGTTGCAGTGTTAGGAAAGTTGAGAACTGCTACTCTATTTCCAGAGAACACTTCATGAAATGTATGAGATTTTCCAAAAAACAGTCAAACTGTGAACTAGGGGAGTCACCCAGTGAGAGGGGCAGGAACTGTGACACCAATCGGCCTGTTTTGGACGCCAGCTCCTTCGCCCTCACCCTCTCTCTTCTCCACACACCGAGTCTGGCTCCTCTGACCAGCTGGAGGCCAGGCAGGACTCAGCATTTCGCTGTGTTTGCAAAGCATCCCATCACACATGCTGTGTGCTCTCACGTGTTTCTTACGAGGGTCTACTCGTGTGTTGAACACTCCAGCTTCTGTCCAGCTCTTCTTGTTTAACAGGTCTTTCCTCGCCCCTTTTTCTGCAGCGTACGTTAAACTGGTGTCGTTAGCATCCTGCTTTTTCTTTATTCAGACTAACACTGACTTTAAACCGGCGTACTTAGTTCCCAAGAGTTTGATGGAGGCATGACCGCTTCAGCCATCAGACGTGTTTCCTCTTTGCTTCTATTTGTTGTTTTCCCATTTCTTGCTTTTGGCTGTTCTTTTGGATTGTTTGTACATTATTGTTCTACTATACTTTCATTCTTCTAGCAAACACTACAGAAATTGAAACATGCCACTGTTGTCATCAGCGTACGCATGTCTGTACACAGAAGCGTGCACACATGCATGGGGAGGCTAGACGCTAACCTCAGAGTCATCTACCTCGTTTTTAAGGCAGGCTCTCTCACTGGGGACCCTGGGTTCACTAACGTGGCTAGCTATAAGTGAGCCCCAGGAATCCATCTGTCCCCACCTCTACACTGCTGGGATCACAGGAACCAACTACTAGCTTTTTATGTGAGTGCTGGGGATCAACCTCAGGTTCCTCTGTTTGCATAACGAATACTTGACTGGCAGAGTTATCCTCAATGTATCTTTAACCTCTTTTTTATATCATTTTAAAATTTTTATTTAAAATATTCTTCTGTCCTACAATACATCCCAACCAGTTTCCCCTCCCTCCAGTTGTCCTAGCCCAACCCTGTATCATTAATTTCTAAAGCAAGTTAGCATCTTTACTGTTTCAAGACAATCCAAGAACTGAAGATTAGTACTTGGCTCCTGAACTCTTATATTTGTTCCTCATAGGTCTTCTAAAATTTCTACTCAGTTTCCCAGCCCTTACACCAGCAAGTGTCAATCACTGTTCCCAACTCTGCAACACTCGTCTTTCTTTTTTGACAGTCCAGGAACATGGTGGTAGATGATTATAGTATGACTTTCATTGCTTTCTCAACAGAAAGGTTGGTGTAAGACAAGCTTATCACAACTTGCTCAGAGCTAAGAAGCCCCACATGCTTTATTTGTGTAACTGGCTAACTGCAAAGAGTGCAAGGCATGAAGCAGAATGGAATGCTATACTGCCTGCATGATCTGGGGCAGGTTGTTTAACTAAATCACAAGTAGCACTGGAAGTTACCTTGAGCTGTTTTAAACATTTTAAAATGAAGGTACACTTAACATAGAGTGGATGTTGTTGGTTAGTGTTTTGTCAACTCGACACAAGCTGAGTTTCTCTTTATCTGGGAAGAGAAACCTCAACTGAGAAAATGCCTCAGTCAGACTATCTGCAGGCAAGTCTGCAGGTTATTCCCTTGATTAGTGATTAGTATACTGAGCTGTGGATCAACTGTGGAGCCAATGTCTTCAGCTCTGCAGCCCCTGAGTCCCTCTTCCTTTGCCCACACATAAACCCTTTCAACAGGGAAAGTGCAATCCCTTCTCTCAAGTGTAAAGTATATAAAAAGACTCTAGAAAAACACATCCTGGTTGCCACTAGTCATCACTTGGCTTCAGACCAGTTTCGGAACGTCTGTATAGCCTCTTTTGCTGTCTGAAAAGCATCTTTAAGCACCATGGCCATTTGGCACCATATAGGCCCCTCCAAAACACAGCTGACATGACTAGTTAACAAGACTTACTGGAAAGTAAGGCTGACATGAGGAAACTAACAACATGGAGAAAACAAAATAATAGCACATTTGCCATTCCTAGAATACAGTTTTACCTCTCTCAAGGTAAATCTGACCAGTATCTTCCTCAAGGCTCTGCTCACTTCCCTTCCTGTAACTACAACACCCTGACAACAGTACCCCAAAATGCTGCACCTCAATAGATTCCACAGCACTCCTCTCTCTAGCTCCCAACAGAAGGAAATAAACCGATCAAGAGTTTCAATAGCTCTGCATTCTTCTACCACTATCCTGTAGGTGCCCTGGGTTCAAACCCAAGGAGAGTCAGACTGCCTGGAAAGTAAGAGGTGCCCTTTAGAAAGGAAGAAAGCCAAACTGACCAGGAAGACATTAACCCTTCCAAACACTTGTAAAATCTAAACATACTTCTGCAGGTCAATTGGTATTGAAGAACTTGAACAAATATCCATCCCATAAGGCTATTTATCATAATTGACTTTTTATTTAAAAAATTACAGGGAGCAATTTCCAGCATATTTTATAAAAGTACTGCCATATCAAACATTTTGTATCACTTAATTCCAATAAGGAGCTGCCTTTTTTTTCTTTTAAGATACTAATTCCACCTGATGCGACATGTGTCCTTAAAATAGAAAGTTTCCATCATTTATTCAAATGTCAAAATTAACATTTTTGAGAAGTTTATTGCTTTATGGGTGGGCAAGATGCTACTAGCACATTTTAGGTAAATAAACTTCTTTATTAAAAACTATGAGGTCATTCCTGTTTAAAACTTTCAGGATAATTCACAGAAAATAGATATATTTATTCAAAGTACACATTGAAGGGTTGGCCATCTAGCTGGGGACATTTAAAGGTGTAGCAGCTCTTTAAAGAAACAACACACAGTGGTTCTGCTTGGCGCACTACACATAATTGAAATGAATAAAACTGGAAGACCAGTACTGTTTATGCTATGTTCTGTTAAGATCTTTAAACAAATAAACAAACAAAAAAAATCACACACTTAGTAGTCCATTTGTGCTTAAAATATTCATATGCGTGAGAAGCTTAAAGAAAAGACCTCTGTACATGATCAAAAGAAAGTTATACAGTTTCTTTTTTTCCTTTTTTTCTTTTTGAAATTGCACTGTTATTTAAACCACTTTCCTAAAGTCAAACCCTCCTTTGCAGCTGGCACAGTTTTTCAGGTCTAATTGGCAACTTGGGGAGGCCCCTCCGGTATCAGTGAAGTAAAAAAGGTGGTGATGAAGGACCAAGCTGAAGCCATCAAGCCAGGCCTTTGCACTGCACTGGCATCTTCACCTGCATCTTCTCCACTCTCGTCTTCAAGTCCATCGTCCATAAGACGCTCCTTTCAAACAACACAAGCACATTCCTGAGAAACTGGTACCACACACACCAACTTGGAGCAGAGGGGAGAGCTAAATACGTTCTATAGCAAGAAGACATCTAAGTGTGTAGGAAAAATGGCAGATCCAAGGCAATTCGAAATCTTTGTAAAGTCTAAAATTAATAAGTTCTGTGGTGTGTAAATAACTGCCAATAGAAGAAATTCTCATCCAGGAAAAATTTCCTTTCGAGATTATTTTTAGAGAGATGTGGATCCTTCCCATTCACTCTTAACAGCATATGACTGACTCACTACTACATGCTATGTTCCCCAGATGTAACCACAACAGTTTCTACGTTAGCTTTTCTTTTGTGTGCCTTCCATGGTTATCTATGGAGCATCCAAGAGTCCATTGTAATTTCTGTCCCATACAGCACTAAGAACTATCTACCTATAAAATCCACACAAATGTCAATCACCTACCATCTCTTCAAGTTCTAGATTGTTTGCATTCTGCCCGTCGTTGTTGACGTCAACATTGTTAGGAACCTGTTGCTGACCACCTTCTTGCCTGAAAGGGAACCATCCAGCCTGGTGTCTGTTCAGCAAAATAAAGAGAGAAAATAAGCCACATCACTTGTGTTTGTAATACTATAAAATAGTGTCACTCAGGGAAAAACTACTGCAGGTGTTGTTATAAATGATTAAAAACAAGTATCTTACTTCAAGCCAGTGGATTTCTCAAAGAAATTAACAGCAAAACAAAACCCAATTCAAATTCAAAGCCTATCTTGGACGTAACTGGCTTAGAGTAACATATTAAATCACAAAATCTTTTGGAGCCTTTTCAAATTGAAATATAACTAGATATATTCCTTTGCCTCTTAGAGAAAAGGCAAGGCTAGGAAAAAAATCAATCTACTTATGAAAAAGAGTGTGACTTATGCTTCTAGGACTTACTATTGATAAATATAACTTGAAAGAACATACCCTTGAAAGCATTTATCATATACTTGCGTGCTAAATAGCTGAAAGTCTTTGACTCATTGAATTAACAATGTATATAAAATACAATAAGCAAATACTCTGCTTTTAAACAAATCTGATAAATATTCTTATACAGTATCTCTGTCACTGCTTTTGGTTAGCATGAACATGCTAGATACTCAACAATTTTAAAAATCCTTCATTCAGTATTCCTGACTACATTCTGCTATAATCTATGGTAAACTGTTTCAGAAGTAACTAAAAGACACGAACAGTTAATATCTGTCACTCACAAATAAACCAGCAGCATGGCTCCCATTACCATGATAAACCGACTAAAGGAAGAGTAGAAGTATACGATGCTGAGGAGAACTGCAGCTCGAGAGAACGTGTACACCCAGTCTAGCCAGTCACGGTTGAAGTCCTCTTCGTTTAGCACTGGCCCGCCCTGGGCATTCATCTGGACATTCTCATTCATGGGCCCATTTTCTGGGGCTACTAGGTTGGCAGCTGGTGGAGGCTCTTCTCCAGGACCATGTGCCAAATTCAGAGGCGGTGATGCAGTAGGCTGGGCTGGACTGGCACCTGATGTGGCTTGAGCTGTAACTGCAGCTTGACTGAAATAGTGACCAAAACATTAAAAAGGGGGAAAAAAAACTTTACCATACTATTCATTTTTTAAATTTGTTTCTGATCTATGTTAAAATTTGTTCCACACTTGAATTAATTCATTCAGTCTACATAATGTGACAGATATTTTCTAAGAGAATAACTTAAAAGTCAATAATCCTTATAGGCAGGTATCACGAGGCAGTAGACGTGACAGAGAATAGCATACTGTGCATTTTTTAAATGTCTTAGCTATCACATTTTTATAACCCTAATCTCGAGTATCACACTCTTGTCGATGCTTCTTAGTACAATCGTGGGGCTAAGAGAAGGACGTTCTCCTAGCCTGCTTGCCTAAGACCACAGCAGAGAGGAAGAAGAAATAATAATGGCCACATTCATACTCTAGTAAATCGGCTTATAAGCTGGTAGCGAATAACTACAAATCTTTCAAGTAATGGCTCTTTTTACTTTTCTACATGGGATGAACACCTCAAAGCTACCTTGACATACTTGTCTAAATATGGGTTTAAATATTAAGTGAATCTTGGATAATCACTCCTCAATCCCAATTCTAGTTTTGGGGCAACTCCACTTGAGGATTACTGGACTAGTTCTTGTCATCTGAGAAAGAACTGTGACCTCTAAGGGGCTGATGATGTGACTGTGTAAGTCAGAACAGGGCTAGCAAGCTGGCTCAGTGGGTGATGGCACCTACCACTGAGCCCACCACCAGAGTATGATCTTTGGAATGCATACGGCGGAAGGAGAGAAACAACTCCCATAAGCTTCCCTCTACTTTTACATGTGACACAACATACATGCACACATGTGTGCATGCACACACACAAAATAAAGATACGCAATTTTAAGAAATTTCATTTTTTAAGTCAGAAAAAGGACTGGAGATGTGATTCAGTTAATATGGTGCCAACCTACCAGACACAAAAGCCCTAAGATCCATGCCTAGCACTGCATAAAACTGGTGTGGTAGCAAGCATGTGCCTGCAGTCCCAGGGTTAGAGAGGCGGAAGCTCTAAGAGCAGCAGTTCAAGGTCATCTTTGGTTAAATAGCCATTGTGAGGCCACCCTTGCTTACATGAGATCCTGTCCCACAAAGAAAAATAAGGCTAGAATAAGTTGTTCATTACAGGTTCCCTTAAAAACAAAACATGGCTGGGATTTGCTTTTAAATTATAACAAGGAAAAAGAAAGGTTATAGAATAAGATTGGCATGATTTTGTGAATATTGAAGCTCAAACATAGGTACACAGGGACTTGTTTTGCTATTAAGTATTTTTTCTTTTTTTTAAATAACATCTTTTTTTAAAGATTTATTTATTATGTATAGTGTTCTGCCTGCATGTATGCATGCATACACACCAGAAGTGAGCATTAGATCTCATTTATAGATAGTTGTGAGCTATCATATGGTTACTGGGAATTGAACTCAGGACCTCTGGAGGAGCAGCCAGTGCTCTATCCAGTCCCACTACTAGGTATTTTTAAATGTTTAAATTATTAATAAAGTTAGACAACATACATAATGAAAATTAAGGAAATTCTCCCTGGGATATAAACACCTATTTAAACCAACGTGCAAATACCTGGTTTCTAAATAAGCCTTTTGTTTCTACAACATTTCTTATCTCATGACGGTTGTGATACATGTGCAAGCTGTTTTAAAGCTAAGAACCTGAGACTCAAAAGTTAAATAACACACACAAAGTAATAAGACTCAACAGTAAGCAAGGTCACAAACAGAACAAAAGGTGGAAAGCAGAGTACTAAGCACAAAGTCATCACTAAAAGATAGCTGTCACCAGTATCTTTCAGTACAGTCTCCCTGAAGCCAGTGTTTATGAACAAACACTAGCATAAGAGGTTCATAAAGCAGGTAAGCTTTGTACAGGGAGATATATAGGAGGCAAAAAACGCAGTAGACATTTGGAACAAAAGGAAAAAGGAGAAGAAAGGTCTACTGTACTATTATCTGAAGTAGGATAAGGTTACAGCATGAGATAGAAAGGGAGACTAATGTAAAGCGAAACAGATTTAAAATGAGAAAAGATCTGGCTGAAATTTTGGAAGCAGGATTCAAAGAGCAGATGCTCAATTATATTATTTTTGTAAGGTACTGGGTTCAGGGATAACAAAACCTAGAATCTACATGGTTAAGGCCAAGAGCTTTCTTGACAACTATAGGTAAATTCACAAGGAAAAGACATTTAAGGAATGAAGGAGACAAAATTTAGATGTTCTGAACTTAGAGCAAAAGCAATTACTCTAAAAATCTCCCAATCAAGCAGCAACACAGAAGGAACAGAAAGCTAAAAAAAAAAAAAAAAAAAAAAAAAGTGAGAGTTAGCCACTGCAGCCACAGAAGAAAGAAATCTAAGAGCACTGGAAAGGACAGTTTCCTGGGTGTGAGCAAGTCAATCTATCAAACTGAGCAAAGACTGCTACTGTTAAAAAGGAGAAAACATGAGAAAGATAAAGGAAGAGAAGAAAAACAGGACCATACAAACCCGCAGAGAACAAAAATCAGCAGCGGCTGGTCAGTGTAGATGAGTATGTAGGATGAGGATAAATGAGAGAACAAAGCAGGACATGACTCACTGATGAGACGCCAAAGTCAGCAATGAGAGCAGTGACCACAGGGGCCACACTGAGCCCTACACTTCCTATGGCCCCTTTCCTTTGACCTTTTTGTCTCCATGCAGATCTGCAGCCTTGCAGGGAAACTCTCTTCTTGGCTTTCTATATTATGTTTAAAAAGTAAATAAGTTTAAAAATATTGCTAAATGAAATCAGGGGCACAAAGAAGGGGCAAAGAGCTGATGTAAAATGAAGAGAAATTCTTTTTCTGTTAGCCAAGTAATCTGAAATAAGTATCTTCTGAGAAGTTTATAAATTCATAGTCAGTAATTATGAAGCAACCATGTAATGACACAACAAATGCAATCCCAAATCAACTGAGTCAGGGTAAGAGAACAAACACTAAGCCTATTAACAGAGCAGCTACAACAGTGAACTCAGACAGACTTACTATTGCATATAATACTGGTGAGCATACATCTGCTGCCACCACAGCATCTGCAGTGGGCTGAGAGCAGGGTACACTGGGAACCCGGGTGGCACAGCTTGCCCAGGAAACTGGTGGTCCACATTTCTGCAATAAAGAATAAATGAAGCCTTTTAATGTGTCACAAGCTAAAAAAAGTTCCTTGAACTTATTTATGAACTGTAAGTCAATCACTGATAGAGTATCTTTAAGTCTTACTGAAAAGATACTGATTTCCAACATTCTTTAAATAACACACTATATCTTACCTAAGTTGATCCTGGACCCAATATATAGACAAAATAAGTCATCTACAAAATATGGAACAAGAGTGGACAAAGCCAAAAATACTTTGATGTTTAAGCACATTCTCTTGTAGAATCAAAGCTATAAAATAAACTCCAAGACATATTATTTTGAATAATATGTCACAGTCAAGTAGTAAAAGTCTATTAAAGATACAGCAGACATAATTTAAAATACAAATATTTCAAGTGTAAACTGTGTTTTAAAGAGCCAACATACTTCTGAATTTTTACTTTATTTTTTCAAGACAGGGCTCCTCTGTACCTTTGGAGCCTGTCCTAGAACTAGCTCTTGTAGTCCAGGCTGGCCTCAAACTTACAAGAGATCCACCTGCCTCTGCCTCCTGAGTGCTGGGATTAAAGGCATGTGCTACCACCACCAAGCTTCTTCTGAATTTTTTAAAATTCTATTAATTCAGTAGAACCTGCCATTAACTTCCTTGTTCTTCAGTTTCCCTAATTTTGGGGAATTTTATGAAATGGAATTCACAAAACGTTGTTACTCTGTATTCAGCAAACACTAGTGCTGTGACTTGAATGCAAAATGTCCCAGGCAGACTCATGTGTTTGAACACTTGGTCCTCAGCTGGTGGCACTGTTTTAGAAAATTATGGAACCCTTAGAAGATGCACTCTTGCTTGAGAGAGTTAAATTGGGGTGGGTGTTTAATAGTCCAGCCCCATTTCCTGTACTTCCTGTGTTTCTTGACTGACTGTGACCAACTAACTACCCCACGCTTGAAACCATTACTTCCCCACAATGATGTGCTGTATCCCTTCAACTGTAAGCCAAATCAAACCCCTCCCCACTAAATTGCTTGTCAAACACTTGGTCCTAACAATGAAGTAAGTTACAATGAGCCAGCTTTGCTTTTATTAACCACTTCTTAAATAAGACTGTAACTCCAAAATACATAATCAAAGACTTAGCAATAAAATGGCTCCTAATGACATTCTGCTGTACTCGTAGACCAGTGCCTTGCTCAACCATCCTCAGCAAAGTTTCCTCCAGCAGTAGATGGGAACAAACACTGACATCCACAACAAACTACAGTGAGAGACCAGGGCACTCAGCCCTAAATGGGATGTCTCCATCAAATCCCTCTGCTTCCGGGCTCAGGGAACTCTACAGAAGAGGAGGTAGAAAGACTGTAAGACCTAGAGAGGATGAAGGTCACCAAGGAAACAAGGTCTTACAAACACACCAGGCGTGACATACACATGAACTCACTCACAGCGCCCCTACCTGGTTCTAAGCCAAATAAGGTTCCAGCGCTGGGAGGCAAAGTGGACACAAGTCCCCATTCCTAACCCAGAAGTTATCTTCTCATAACCACTCAGTGAAGAACTAGTTTTCTCTACTGGGGTCTCACTGGGTATTCAAACAACTTCTTAATTCCAGGCACCAGCACAGCAGTAGAGTGCCAACACAAAACAAACCCAATGGTATTTTTGGAGGTTCCTTGTTTCATAATGCTTTGTCTTGGCATTATTTTTAATTTTTTCTTTCTTTTTTTCCCTTATATATTGTAGATTCTAGCATGTCTTTATAGAATTTTTTGTGTGTTAATGTATGAGTACCTGCATCTCTGTGTTTCTTGTGCCTTTTCTTCGGCTTTTTTTCTTCTGATAGTTTGTTTGCTTCATCCTATTCCAGTTGGTTGGTTCTTATTTTATCTTTTACTTTTTTAGTATTATTATGTCTATTTGTATTCTAATGACACAGAAAAAGAAAGACATGTAGATTGGGGGGGAGGGGTTGGAAGAAGAGAAACTGTGACCAGAATATATTGTATGTATTGTATGCTCCAGGGGACCAGACTGCCTCTTTTGGTCTCCATGCACACACTCACACAGCCTTACACACACACACACAAGTAAATAAACATTATTTAATCTTTTCTTAAAATAAATTATTTATTTTTATTTTATGTGTATTGGTGTTTTGCCTGTATATGTATCTATGTGAGTGGTTGGATCCCCTGGAACTGGAGTTACAGACAGTTGTTAGCTGCAATGTGGGTACTGAGAACTGAACTCGGGTCTTCTGGAAAAGCAGCCAGTGATCTTAATCACTAACCAATCTTTCTAGCCCACATTATTTAATCTTAACAAACAAACGAAAACCAACCAAACTGAAAAGCAATCATGGGCTGCCCAGATGGCTCAGCCAGTAAAGACTTTTACATACACACAATCAAAATACAGAAATAAAATCTTTTTTTAAATGGAAAAAATATATTGTATGAAAATTATAAATATATTTTCAATTTTAAAATAGACTTAGAGATATTTGAATAAAACGAAACAACTATGGAGTACATACCAAGTAAATACAACATTTGTAAATATGTTGTCTTTTTATTTGTTTGCGCATGTGTGTATATGTGTATGCACATCTGTTCATGTAGCATGTACGTATGTGAAGGTGCACTAGCATGTGTGTGTATGAGAATGTAGAGGTCAAAGGCCAATGTTGAGTGCCTTCCTCTATTGCTGTCTACCTCACTTTTTTGGGAAAGGGTCTTTCACTGAGCCTGGAGTTTACCAATTCCTCTAGAATGGCTGAGAAGCCAGCTCCAGAGATCTGCTTATCTCTACCACCACCACTCCCAGAGCTGAGCTTACAGACATTAGCACTGTGCCTGGCTTTTATGTAGGTGCAGGTAACCCAACCCAACTTTCTCAGGCCTGAAAGCTATAGACTTTTTAAGAGAGGCTACTTTTTCTTTTTTTACTTTTTCTTCCCTTGATCTTAGAGAAAATCCAGTGTTCTCATTCTGAAATTGATACAATAAATATGGTTAAAACTGTATTTCTTATTAATGGTAGAAATTTATGGAGCTCTATTTCCAAGTGGATACCCTGCATTAGTATTAGAATAGTAATACTAATAAAACTTAAAATATGCCCATAACAGTTTAGCCTTCCAAAACTTTTCTAACTCAGCTCTCTTCAGTCAACAATCCCTAATATATGAGTAGTCTTTATTTAGAATATAAATGTGTCATGGTGTGCTGTATTTAGAATATAATGTTACTTATTCTTACCTGGAAAGACCAAACTAATGCCAGGCCAAAGCAAAATTTAACACAGAGAAGCCGAGAATGAAGAGCTGGAGGGTGGAATATTGTTGAGTGCTTGCTGCACAGGTATGAGGATTTTGATTCCCCCTGCCTCCATGTTCAAAGTTGGAAAGAGGTGGGTAGTGTTGGCACATGCCTTTGCAGAGGCAGAGACAGGTGGAATTGCTTTATTTATCCTTGAGCTCTGTGAGTTCAAGGTCAGCCTGATCTACAGAGTGAGCTCCAAAACAGCCAGGGCTACACAGAGAAAACTCTGTCTTAGGGGGTTTATAAAAGCTGAGAATGGTAGTGAATGTGTGTCAAAACCAGAGAGGCAGAGACAAGTGGATCCCTGGCGTTCTCTGGCCATTCCTAGGTCTCACTGAGAGAGACCTGTCTGAAAAATCAAGGTGGGTGGATCCTGACAAGCAACACATGAAGCTGTCCTCCAGCCTCCACATTTGTGTATACACACACAGTCTAGAACAGAAGACAATCATTAAACATATACTGCCAAAATAAGCGAATTTCCCTAAGATGACCCTGACATTCTGAAGATGGAACGAATATTGGGAAGGGGGGGGTTCTAAGATATTTATTTAGAGAGAGCAATCACTTACATTAGAAGCCGGGTCAGCATGCTATGGTCTCCGAGCCTCGGCCAGGATCCAAGAGAGAGGGAGAGCCCACCCTGTATGTTCCTTCTTTTATCCCTGATTCTCCCACGTGCCCATGACCACACCCCAAGGGAGCGTGGTCAATGCTGTGGGTACATGATTTTTCCCTACAACATTCTATTCCCTATTTCTCTAATACATTATGAAACATGACTAAACTATGTAATCATTAAAATACATCCTGGGCTCAGGCTAGCATGTTTACTAATGTTTAGATAAGCAGTTTACCACTCTCCAGGAAACAAGGGAAAAAAAGAACTCAAGCTTGATACAAAATCACTACTGAAACCTACAATAGAAAAATTAATCAAAGACACAACTGTGGTGACCTGAATGAGAGTGGCCCTACAGACTCACATATTTGTAAGCTTAGTACCCAGTTGGTGAACTGTTGAGAAAGTTGGAAGGTGTGGCCTTGTTTGAGTAGGAGTGACCTTGCTGAAGGAAGTGTATCTTTGTGGGTAGGCATTGAGATTTTAAAAGCCCATGCCAGGTCCAGTAGCTCTCGGGCTGTTGCCTGTAGATAAGGATGTAAGCTCTCAGTTACTGCACCAGCACCATGCCTGCTGCCAACACGGTTTCAACATAATGATAATGGACTCTGAAACTGTAAGCAAACCCCCAATTAAATACTTTGTTTTTTTTAATGATGTATCTATTTTTATTTTAAATGCACTGGTGTTTTACCTGCTGTCATGTGTGTGTGAGGGTGTCAGATACCCTGGAACCAGAACTACAGGCAGGTGTGAGCTGCGTTATGGGTGATGGGAAGTAACCTGGGTCCTCCAGATAAGCAGCCAGTGCTCTTAACCACTGAGCCACCTCTCCAGCCCCTTAAATCCTTTCTTTCATGAGAGTTCCCTTGGTCATGATGTCTCTTCACAACAGAAACCCTAACTAAGACAATAATTTAATATATTTTGGATACTACACCACTAAGTAACAAGTAAAAGAAAAATTCTACTTTTGTGATTATTAAATTGCTGATGGAGGGGAAGGAGTTCTAAAAGCTTTCACCTTTTCCATATATTCTAAAATAAAGTGTTGAGTTAAGTCACAGAT